GAAACGGCCGGTGGCGAAAGGGCCGGAGTTTTTTTTCCCGGCTGAATTCCTTCCCGGAGCGCCACAAACCACAGTGCAACGCGCTGGGCGCCGCCGGGAAAAGTGGAGAAGGGAAAAACCGCACCCGAAAAGGCGGGATAAGGCGGGGGAAGGGGGCAGAGGTGCCGGGCTGCCCCCCGCCCGCGGCCGGCCCGGAGGTCGCGGAGCCGCGCGGATCCCCGCGGCGGGGGCGCGCTCGGGACGGCGGGGCCGGGGGGGGAGCTCCGGTCCCGGCGCTGCGCCCCCCGGAGCGGCTTTCTCCATATCCCGCTTTAATGACCCCAAATCCAGGCGGAACTTTTCCGGCGTGGCTGGTTTTTTTTTCCTGCTTTGCTTTGTTTTGTTTTGGAAGCGAAAGCGTTTGAATCCCCTTCAAGAACCGGTATCAAAGTCTCTTTTTTTAAAAGCTATTGATTGCAAAAGTCTTATTTAAACCAACACATTTTAGTTTCTCACATTTTAAAACATCATCTGGGGCCCATTGTATGGAAAATCGATTAGCAGGAATTGCCACGCTCTTTGCCTCCCGCTTGATTGTTGGAAAATCGAGACATCCATAGGCAAAGGCTGGGCTGGGAAAGGTTTGGAACCGAAATGAAAGGGTTTGCGAGGGATCTATAGGCACTAAATAATTCACCTGCCAGGCGATGGTGCTGTTATTTTGAAGCCTTAAAGAACTTTAAGGAACTTTTGGCTCCCGGTGGGGTGCGCGGAGCCTCGTTTCGGCTCCTTCTCCCTCCTTGCCCGGTAAAGCCCGACGGTTTGGCCGGTGCCCGGTGCCTGCTCGGCGAAGGCACCGCCCGCGGTGCGGCCCCTCCGCTGGGGCTGGTCCTGGCAGGGTCGTTTGTGCCTTCGCGCTGTTCCTAAGTGGGATGGAAAAAAAATACACATAAAAATAAAACTAATATAGATTTGAGGGCAAACCAGCTCGGGAGCTGCGCATCGGCACCGGTGGGCAGGGGGACCGGCAGCAGTGCTCGTCCTGCCTCCCACACCCCTCCCCCGGCTCCGGGGCTGCCCATCACACCCCCACCCCCCGCCCCACGCCGCCCCTCCTGTACGGGCCGCCCCAAGAGCCCCGCACCGCCCGGGGGGCAGCGGGGCACGGGAGGGGGTGCAGAGCGGAGCTCTGCGAAGCTGGAGGGGTTTGGGGTGGATTTGGGGGCGGGGGGGCTACTGGGTCCGCGCCTCTCTCCCCGCTCGCCCCGTCCAAGCGAAGCCGCTGCGGGGATGTCGCGGGGGTGTGTGAGGGGTGGGCCGGGGGGAGCTGCCCCGGGGCCCCGCTCCCCCTCCGCACTTACCGCTCCGCGCCCCCGGGTGCCCGCACCGCCCGGCTCCGCTCGGAGCGCTGCCCGGGCGGCTGCGGAGGAGCAGAGGGAAGGGAATTAAATAGGGAGAGGGAGCTCAGGAAGAAAGAGGAGGCGAGGGAAGGGATCAATAGCATCCAGCTGGCGAATGGAGCCAGGGCCTCTCCCCCGCGCTGCGCCCCGGCCCATCGCCAGAGCTCCTGGGCGCTCCGAGGGGCTTCCCCCGGGCCGGGGCCGCCGCGCAGGCAGCGAACCCCGCGGCTCACACGGTCCCGGAGCGGCTCGGCCCGGGGCCGGCCCCGCACCGCTGCCCGGGGAGCTCCCGCAGCCTCCCCGCGCCCCGGCCCCGCGTGTCTCGGTGCCTCTCGCCTGATGATATTGCATCGATCGGGGAAGAGCCGGGGGGGCGGGGGGCGGGAGGGGGGCGCGGGGCTACCGCATTACTCAATTATGTCGCACTAATTACTAAAAAGTCCCTCTCTTTTTCGCTGTTTGCTCGGTGCAGAGCTCGGCCGAGGGCAGAGTCCAGCGCCCGTCCCGGGGGGCCCTCGGCGCTGCGGGCCCGGCGGTGCTGCGGGGGGGTGGGGGCGTCGGGAGCCCGGCCCGGGGACGCGGTGCGGGACGGCAGCTGCAGGGATAGATCTATCGATGGGCGGTCGATGGGCCGGTCGATGCGCTATCGCCATTATTACACTCAATGAAACCCTTCCAGACGCGGCTGCTTCAGCCCTGGTTTGTTCCCCACCTCCTCCTCGCCGCTCACCTCGACACCCCCTCCCCTCAGCATCCTGTGGCGCTGCCCGGCTCCAGGCACCCCTGCCCGTCCCTGCCCGGATCTGGTCATCCCCTCCCCGTCCCTGCCAGACTCCGGCCTCCCTTCCCATCCATTCCCGGCTCTGAAAAATCCCTGCCCATCCCTGCCCGACTTCGGGCCTCGACGTTCATCTCTGCTCGGCTCCAGAGCCCCTGCCCATCCCTGCCCGGCTCCAGGCTCCCCTGCCCATCCCTGCCCGGCTCCAGAGCCCCTGCCCATCTCTGCCCGGCTCTAGGCCCCCCTGCCCATCCCTGGCTGGCTCCAGGCCCCCCTGCCCATCCCTGCCCGGCTCCAGACCCCCCTGCCCATCCCTGCCTGGCTCCAGATCCCCCTGCCCATCCCTGCCTGGCTCCAGATCCCCCTGCCCATCCCTGCCCGGCTCCAGGCCCCCTTGCCCATCCCTGCTCGACTTCGTGTTCCGTTACCCACCTGGAAACCCCCTCTTGCCCACCTGGATATTGCGGATTTCACATCCCCAGCGGAGTCTCCGGGGCGCGGCTCCCTCTGTTTTGGGGGTCCTGCTCACGGCTCGCGGGCGTTACGGCGGGGACAAACCGACGGGGATAGCGAGGGGGGGTCGGAGTCCTTCCATATCCCGGCTCGATCTGGCCCATCTCGGCTCCAGCGGGCCGGATCGTGGTATAAGGGGCAGAAAAGGGGCTGAGGAGAGACCCCCACACTCCCCTCCGTTCATCAACTGCCCCGCGCCCACGTCCCGGGAACTTGCGGAGCTTTATTGCAATGAACCGGGCACTTAATCGACCTCCCGAAGGTGGGATGGGGTTGGATAGGATGGCATAGGACAGGGTGGGCTGGAATGGGTGGGAATGGCTGGGGTGAGATGCACCGAATTCGGACAGTTAATGTTAAATTTTGCTGAATTATTCCCTGCGCAGCCGGGTGGCGGGGGAGGCACTCCGAGCACCGACCCGCGGCTCCCGCTCCCGGGAGCGCCGGGACCCGCTGTCCTGCCGCTGCTGCCCCGCACCGAAGCTCCGGGGCCCGCACGGACGCCCCTCGGCCGCAGGAGCAGCCTGGAGCCCGGCAGTGGCCGGGAACGGAGCAGCCCACGCGGAGCTGGCGGGGCCCACCCGCTGGAGGCTATGGATTTTATTTTTATTTTTTCGGTCTGTTCAATAAATCTTGGGAAAACAGCACGTGCCGGCCTGGAGGAGCGGGAATGGCCGGGAAAGGCCAGAATGGGGCGGGGAGCCCAGCTCGGGGCACCGGGGATGGGGGCGGCTGGGAATGCGCCTGGAAGGACATCGAGCACCAGCCCCTCCGGTGGCCTAAACCCGGCTCGCGTTGGCTCTTCATCCCGGCTTCCTCCCCTTCTGTTCCGTTCCCTTTTTATTTCCCCTTTCCCTTTCAGTTTTCTCTTTCCATTTTCCATTTTCCCTTTTCAGTTTTCTCTTTCCATTTTCCATTTTCCCTTTTCAGTTTTCTCTTTCCATTTCCCGTTTTCCCTTTCCATTTTTATTTTCCCTTTCCCTCTTTCCCTTTTCCCTCCTCCACCACGGCTGCCCAGGGCCCTGCAGCACCGTGTGTCGCCCCACGAGTGTCACTGTCACCTCCCCTCCTCGTGCCAAGGCGAGCCCCCCCCCCCCCCACCTTCCAGAGGAAGTGCCCAGGGAGGTCTGCGGAAAGGTGGTGATGGGGGGAGACACGCGTGGGAAAACACGGGTGTGCGGGGACAGGACAGGACATCTGGGGTAGACGAGGACAGCCAGGCCCTGGTGAGGGACACGGGGGGGAACAGGGGAGGCAGCGGAGCGGGGTTGGGGGCGTCGGGGACAGGCACATCCAGGGATGGAGGCGCATCAGGGGTGGGGGCGGCCAGATGTGTGCAGGGGGGGCAGGGGAGAAATGGAGTCACCCAGATGTCTGCAGGTGGGCACATCACACCCGCACGTCAAACCCGCACATCAAACCCGCAGCGCTGCCAGACGCGCGCTGGGCACCGGGTGCGGCGGGTCACGGCGGTGCGGGGGGAGGCGTGACACCCGGTACGGGGAGGGTCACCCGGTGCAGGGAGCGTCACCCCGGTGTCAGGGGTCGCCTGGCCCGGGGGGGGTCACCCCGGTGCGGTGGGGGTCACCCAGGCGGGAGTCTGGGTGCGGGCGCGGTGCGGCCCCGCGCTCCCCCCGCCCATCTCACACCCCCCCCCCGCCGGCACCGGGAGAGGTGCGGGGGGGCGGCCCGGGGCGGGGCGGGGCGGCGCTGACGTCACGCCCGAGCCACAGCGAGGCTGCCGGGAGCCGGCGGCCGAGGCACCGCAGCCGCCCCGCACCGCGCCCCGCGCCCCGCTCCGCCGAGCCCCCGCTCCGCCGAGCCCCGCGCCCAGCAGCGCGGCCGGCGGGCGCACCATGCCGGCCTGACCGCGGGGCGCGGACATCGATCCCCCCGGGCGCGGAGTCTGAATTAATCCGGGCAGCCGGCGCGGGGAGGGGGGGCGGCGGTGGAGGAGGAGGAGGAGGAGGAGGAGGAGGCGGCGGCGGCGGCGGCGGCGGGGGGGTGGGGGAGGAAGGCAGCGAGCGAGCGGGCGAGGCAGCGGCAGAGCCCGGCGGCCACCATGGAGCTGGCGATGGAGAACCTGGGCAGCCTGCACGGCGTCCCGCACTCGCAGCCCGCCGAGCTGCTGAGCCCCGCGCACGGGCGGCAGAGCTCGCACCGCAACCTGGTGCCGCACGGCCGGCCCGCCATGGTCTCGGGCATGGCCTCCATCCTGGAGGGGGGCGATTACCGCGGCGAGCACAGCCTGGGCGCCCCGCTGCACCCCGCCATGAGCATGTCCTGCGAGTCGCCCTCCGGCATGAGCCTGAGCAGCACCTACACCACGCTGACCCCCCTGCAGCACCTGCCGCCCATCTCCACCGTCTCGGAGAAGTTCCACCACCCGCACCACCACCACCACCACCACCACCCGCACCAGCGCCTGGCCGGCAACGTCAGCGGCAGCTTCACCCTGATGCGCGACGAGCGGAGCTTGGCCTCCATGGGCAACCTCTACAGCCACTACCCCAAGGACATGCCGGCCATGGGGCAGCCCCTGTCGCCGCTGCCCAACGGGCTGGGCAGCCTCCACAACGCCCAGCAGCCGCTGGCCCCTTACGGCCCCGCCGGCCACTTGCCCAACGAGAAGATGCTCTCGCCCAACGGCTTCGACTCGCACGCCGCGATGCTGTCCCGGGGCGAGGAGCACCTGGCGCGGGGGCTGGCGGCGCCCAGCTCGGCCATGATGCCGCCGCTCAACGGGATGCACCCGCACGGCCACCCGCACGGCCAGCCCGGAGCATCGCTGCTGGGAGAGCGGGAGCGCCCCGCGCCCGGCCCCGGCTCCCAGCCCGGCGGCTCCGGGCAGGTGGAGGAGATCAACACCAAGGAGGTGGCTCAGCGGATCACGGCCGAGCTGAAGCGGTACAGCATCCCGCAGGCCATCTTCGCTCAGAGGATCTTGTGCCGCTCCCAGGGGACCCTCTCGGACCTGCTGCGGAACCCCAAGCCCTGGAGTAAGCTCAAGTCCGGCCGGGAGACTTTCCGCAGGATGTGGAAATGGTTGCAGGAGCCGGAATTTCAGAGGATGTCGGCGCTCAGGCTGGCAGGTAGGACACGGCACGGCACGGCTCGGGCCGCCCGCTTCGCGCCTCCGGGCGGGGGGATCAGGGGGTGCTGCCAAACACGCATGGGAACCCCTCGAGGCTTTCGGGGTGCGAACTGGGGTCGGGCTCGGCCGGGTGTTACCGACCCGGTTTGTAACATTAAGACCAAAGGAAAGGGATTTAGATTTAAGGCGAGTTATATCTAAGGCGACCCCCCGGCTCCCCGGGCCTGCGGGATCGCGGGTGGCGGGAGCCGGGAGCTGCCGCCGCTCCCCGGTCCGCCTGCCTCGGGGATTTCCCTCTCGGTCCCGCCGAACCGGCCGCTTGGCCCCGGGAGTGTCCGGCCCCCGGGGCCGCTGCTGGAGCTCCTCCGCGGTCGGTACCGGGGCCGCGCTCTGGGGAAGCTCCGGGCCACCCCTCCGGGGCCGCGCTCCGCTCCCTCCGGGCACCGGCTGCCCTCGGCAGAAGGAACGGGACCCCCCCCCCCCGTCTCCGCTTCCCGGCTGGGTCGGGATCCCGCAGCGCCGATCTCCGCGGCCTCGGGCCGCCGCTGGGCCGAGGCTTCGCTGGAGAAACGCGGCTTTTCTGGGCGGAGGGAGGGCGGGGGTCGCGGGGGAAAAGGCCGGAGGGCGGGGGGGGAGACAGAGGGGTCAACGGCGAGCGGGGACATGCCCGGGTGCGACCCACCACCCCCGGCACGGAGCCGCTCCCCCGGGGAAGGGCCGGAGCTCTCGGCTCCACGGGGCCGAGCCGTGGCGGAGAAAACACGCGTGTGTGATTTTGAATCCATTTTTTAAGAAATCCGAGCTCCCCGTGGAGCCGGGCAGAGGCAGCGACGAGGACCCGCCGTAATTTATGGGGGAGAGCAGCGTTCATATGTATTTAGTGTAATTCAGTTGCTCTTTAATTAGGGCAGGGTAGTGGCATCTTTTAGTTCCAGTCGATGCCCTATTGAAAAGCAGTTAATAGAATGCAAATTGTTCCTGGCTTTACAAGGTTCTGGTAAATAAAGATTTAAACACTGCCGCGATCGGCCGTTTAATGCCCCCGTTGTTGGGGCTAATTGAGCAGCGGGCTTGGGCTTCTGCCTCGCCAGAATTGGAAATAATAATAAATAATTCAACAACAACAACAACAACAATAATAATAATAATAATAATATTATAACTGTGATGGTGATGATAAAAAGGTGGCTGCAGCTGGAGGAAGCTCGGAGGGGTCCCTGTTCTCGGCCCTACTCGGGGGGTCCTAGTCCCCAGCCCGGGCCAGGAATCCCTGTCCCTCTACCTGCTCGGAGGGTCCCTGTCCCCGCTGCCACCGCTCCGCTCCTCCCGCCCCCGTGGGAGGTTTATTCTCCTTAAAATGGTTTTTCTTCCCCAGCGTCGTTTCCCCCGGCGCCAGGGACGCCATGTCCCCATTATTTACGGGAATTAATCCCCCAGATTTCCCGGGAACAGGGTTTATTCATTTGCTTTCTGTGAAAACAGGGAAAACCCCACACCAAATCCCCAACCCAACCGCCCGCCATGAATCCTCCCGTGTTGAACCCGCTCCCCACGCGGGCCCGGCCGCCCCACGCGGCTCGTGGAGGGGCTCGGCCGAGCTGCCCCCCCGGCCCTGCCGCTTTGTTCCCGGTCCCCGGCCCCGCTGGGACCCGCTTTCGTTTCGCTCCTGCCGCCGTCTCGCCCGCCCGGGCCCGGCCGTGGGGGCCCGTTCCAGCCCCTCGGGCTCAACCCCGGCCCGGCCACCCCGATCAGCGGGGTCTGGGGGAGGGGGTCGCGCTGGGGGGGCCCTACCCGAGCCCCTCCATCGATGCAGGAGAATTCCCCCCAACCCGACCCGCACCGAGGCCGCAGGTTGAGCTTGCTCGCCCTTTCAGGCCGCCCCGGGCTGGAGGCCTGGAGGGGTCTGGATGGGTCTGGATGGCTGCAAACCGCCCCCCCCCGCCCCCCGGCAAACAGGGAAGGGACCCTTTCCTCGCCTGGGTAGCGAGAGGAATTTTTCCTTCCCAGTAAAAGTGAAAAAAACGAGTGTTAGACGCGGGGCACGGCTGGGGGAAGGGCTGGTACCGGTCTTGATCCTATTCCTGGTCCTGACCATGATTCAATTCCTGATTCCATTCCCATTCTTATTTCTGGTCCTATTCCTACTCCTGGTCCTGGTTTTGGACCTGGTCCTATTCTTACTCCTATTCCTATTCTTATTCCTATTTGTTCCTAGTTTTGATCCTGATCCTGGTCCCGGTCCCGGTCCTAGTCCCGGCCCGGGGCCGCCCGGCCGCAGGAGTCCATCTGATGGATTAGTCCGAGTCAGTGAGTCGCGGATCGATGCCCACGCCGGGCCCCTATAAATGGCACCCGCCGCTTTTCTCCTCTTTCCACCCCAGTTCCCCCCATCCCGCCTCCCCTTCCGCAGATGAACCATTAATTATTCAGTCGGGAGACGGGGGGGCCGCAGCTCCCGCCGCCCCGGGCTCCCTCCGGCTCTGCTCGCCCCAAGGGGCCCTGCAAAAGAGGGGGGGGGTCCCACGGAGAAATCTCCGGGCAGCAGCTGGCGGTGCCCAGCCCGTCCCTCGGACCATTCATCTCTGCGACCCCACGTCGTGGCCGCAGCCCCCGCGGCCCCGCTCCAGATTCAGCTCCACAAACTTCGCGACCGCCCCACGAGGCCTGCGAGGGCCCGCGGGTGGGGGAGGGCTCCCACTCTGGCGCTTTTTGGGGTCCCTGCACGGCTCCGACCCCCACTCGCTACACCCCGTCCCTGGGGGCGAAAGAGGCATCGCCTTCGTTCCCGTGGGATGGTGCGGGAAGAGGGTGCGCTCCTGCATTTCCCCCCCCACGCGTGTCCGCGGAGGGCAGTGGGTGCCTTCCCACCAGGCGTGTCCCTGGGTGCCCTCCTGCCACGCGAGTCTGTGGGTGCGCTCCCATCCCAGCGCCCCCGCCAGTGGAAACCCCCCTCCCCGGCACGGATTTATCCCGACACTCAGGACCAGGAAATTCGCTCGTGGGCATTTCTCGGGAGGGCGACGACGTCGTTGTGTCCCTTTCGGGACACGGCGCTCCCCGCTCGCCTCCTTCCTTCGTCCCTGACTCGATCCACCCTCCCATGGTTTTCCCCGAGACGCGTGTCTTTGCGTGGAATTCACCCCGCGGGGGGGCACGGCCGGCCCGGGGGGGGCCCGCGGGCTGTGGTCGGAGGCCTGGGCAGCTCCCTGAGCCGGGCAATTCCTTCTGCTTTTACATTTGCTTCTCCTTTTCCCTCTCCCACAATTCTTTTTATTTTTCCATTTGCTCCCTCCCCCGGTTTTTCGTTCTCCTTTTTAATTTTTTCGTTTTCTATTTTTTTTTGGTGTTCATTTTGTTTTGTTTTCGTTTTATCCTTTCCTTTCCTTTCCTTTCCTTTCCTTTCCTTTCCTTTCCTTTCCTTTCCTTTCCTTTCCTTTCCTTTCCTTTCCTTTCCTTTCCTTTCCTTTCCTTTCCTTTCCTTTCCTTTCCTTTCCTTTCCTTTCCTTTCCTTTCCTTTCCTTTCCTTTCCTTTCCTTTCCTTTCCTTTCCTTTCCTTTCCTTTCCTTTCCTTTCCTTTCCTTTCCTTTCCTTTCCTTTCCTTTCCTTTCCTTTCCTTTCCTTTCCTTTCCTTTC